TGTAGTAGTTTTGACTAAATTCTCGATAGTGGTCCATTGTGCTGAGCTTAAGTTGTTACCTTGTTTCCTTGAGGGTTTGCCTATAAGGTGTTGGAAAAAGGTTATATCATTCACTTGCTATAACTTGTTGGTTTCTCCGTTAGCACTTGAAGTAGATTGTTAGATGGAGAAGATGTGTTGTTGAGGCATTGACATTACTAACACTTGTGTTAGTGGAAGTGGCATTGTTGTTTTGAGTGATCAGGAATTTTCCTTAAACCTTGAATTTTCATATCATGTTTCTTGTTAGTGTTTTGGCTTCATATTAGATCTTGAAGGTGGTTGAAGAAAAGTGTTAGTGCAATGTGGATGTCTAAAGATGTGGTCCTCATGATCAAGCCTTAGATGTTCACTTTGCACTTTGCGGATGTTAGTGTTAGATGTCGGAAGTATGGGCAAAGATATTTGATGCTTAAGCATACTATGAGTCATGGAAATTGGTGTTGAGGTGAACTTATGTGAAGTTGTTAGTAGAAGGAAGTTGATTAAGTCTTGAAAATTTGCATTCCTGGACTAAGAGTTATTTTTTCTTTAAGATAAAAATTTTCCACAAATTTTCTTAGACTTTTCGAATGGCTGATCTGTTGATCACTTTGCTTGAAAACCATTCCGTTTCCGTAAACCAATACAAACTAGTGAAGGGGGTTGGAGTTGACTTTGGTTAGCTTACACCTTAGTAGGTAGTTTATATGGTGCAACCCGAAAGGGATGCTAACTTTTGGGGCTAAGGCGATTGAGTTGGATAGAGTCTGGAGTTGGTATAGAAAAGTGGCCATTGCGCTTTTCTAAGAAGGGTGACCCTTGTGCATTTTTTCTGTAGCGTTGTGCTTGGTGGTAGGTTGCACTTTGCATTTCATTAGACTTTATGAGAGTAGTGAGTTCTCACTGATCTTGACTTGGTCTTGGTGGTTCTACACTTTGGCTGAGGATAGTGATATCCAACTTAGTTGTTTGAGGTTGATATGTTGATACTCATATTATAGCTTTGTCTATGAGGAGGTTGTGTACTGATATGAGTTCATCTCATAGTCTTCACTTTAGTTTCAGCTGAGTGTTGATCATGCATAGCTAGCCTCTTCAAAGCATGCTCAGAGCTATTGACTAGATGTGTTAGTGAGTTTATCGCGGTTGAGTTGGATTCGAGTAGTCATTTAGTTCGTGCTTGCCCATGAACCTTTATCTCGTGCCTGGGGTATTACATTCATGTTGGACAAGTGTATGACTCGATGACGTGAGCTTAGTGTTTGGGACTTGTGAAGGCAAGTTGAAAGAGTGATTGTTAGTTGCTTTGCAACTAGTGATTGCTTGTAGACTTCGTCAAAGGACTGTTGACACTTGCTTCACTCGATGATGATTTAGTAGTGATGGGCTTGTTTTACCGGATGGTGTTGCAGAGGATCGTGTAGTTAGACTTACATGGTTTCTTTTCCATGTTGGCATATCGATTCCTTTGTCAATATTATTTGGTTGCGTTTAGTTCATAGTGTTGGATTTCATTGAGTCTTAGATGTAGTGATTCACTCTTTGAGGAAGTGTTATTTGTAGTTGAGTATTGTTAAAGAACTAGTCTCAGATATTGAGTAAGGTATCTTCGACTTTGGTTAGCTTGGTTGCTAGAGAGTTTTAAGTGGTGATTCACTCTTGTTTTCTTCTAGCTTTGTTCTGATGTTGATGGCATTGAAGTGATGCTTTGTCGTTGGCATTGTTGTTGTTAAGAATCGAGTGAAATGAGATATCTCTTTGAAAGATCAATGTCAAGTTTCATTAATCTGGATGAAGATAGTGTTGATGATTTGGCTTTAGCTTTATATTATTAGCATTCGTGCATTTGCTAGTTAGCAACTGTGTTGACGTTCAAATGAACTGAGTGGCAAGTTTGAGTTAATTGTGTTCTAGACGAGATTATTTAGTAGGGGTTGAGCTTTGGTTTTTTTTTGAAAAGTGATTGAATCATAGACTATACTAGCTTTACAAGATGAAAAGTTAGTGATCAATATTGAAATATTTGAATCCTTATTAGATTTGAATTCGATATATTGATCATTGATGATTCTTCTTATGCTTGTTATGAAGTGAGTTACGTCTTGCTATAGATGGATTTATAGATGATCGTTTCGTGATCACTTGTTGAGCATAGCTCCATTATGCTTAGCTTTTGAATTGATGCAAATATGCACTTCATTAGCTTTGGCATTATGAAGTTTAGCTATAGATGTGTTGAGAAGGATATTGTGCGTTGCACCATAATTTCTTCTTTAGTATTAAAGTTAGTTCATGCAAGACTTGTGATCATTGTTAGGCAAGACTTAGCTATAGGCTTCTTCAAGCTTTTGGTTCTTTGAGTTTTATGCTTGTTATTCTATTTGTTAGAAGTTGTTAGGGAAGGCATTTTAGCTCATTAGTTTCAATGTTGAAGTTGGTTTTTGCATCTGGCAATCATTGGTAATGATTGACTATCATCTAGGATAGTTGATTATCCGTGTCCAAAGATTTTGCTTGATTGTTGTTGATATAGAATAATTTGCTGTTTTTTGGGATGGTAGATTCTTTCTTCAACGATGATTATGCATTTCTTTATTGATGGGATGATTGATAATCTTTCGTAATGGTCAGTTATTTCTTTGATGGCTTATGGCTTTTTGCAATACCACATATTCTTTGTGGTTTGCTCTGGATTAGTCTCTTGGGTTTGAGACATCAGTAGGATGTTGCTGACACCTGCTTAGGCAATTTGAATTCCTTGGTGTTGTTGATTGGGATCTATTCAGATTTGCTTCTATGATAGTTGACATGAATGAGTGTTTGTTGGTCTTCCCACATTCATTCTGTTCTGTTGATTATTGCTTAAGTTAATTCTGATAAGTTGGGATTTCCTTTGGGTAATAAATTCGCGAGCATTGTGTTTGTCAGTCAATGATACTTTGTGTTTATTTGGTTGTCTTTGGCAAGTTGTTTGGCATACCGTCTGCCATCTTTGATAATTAAGTTTCATTATTGAGTTTTCTTGATGATACATTGGTTATTGAATTTTGTTAGATGGTGAATCTTATGTTTTCCAAAAATGATGATCTTGGTGGTTCCTATACTCTAAAACTGGTTTATCAGATGATAACTTACTTGGAATACTTTTGTGTTCTAATCTAAGCTATATTCAGTGATAATTAAATCTCTAAGATATCATTATTTATGATTTTGATATTGTCCATCTATTGATCTTTGAGTTTGGGCCAGTATAGGCAAACTGGTTTCGGCACTTCGTGTGAAAGGTGAAATCTCTACTCATGGGGTAGCTACTGTCGATTGGTTATATCACCCGCCTCTCTCTCAATGTTCCTTATTCCGTTAAAAGGGCATGACCGTGTAAACAACTCTAATTTCCTATTTACAATAGTCTATCTAAACTTTACTGACGGGTTTGGTTTCTTTGCTCAGGAGGGTTGGGGCCTCTAGCTTCTCTCTCTATGTCCTTGCAGGCAGGGGCATATCACACTTTTGTAAGCTGGGTGACAACTAGAGCAGCAAGGGTGGCTAACTCTGTTGGTCATTTCCTTGTCGGCGACGGCCAGAAGGTGTCTGAGCTGGTAGCGCATCCGTGTTAGACAAAGAGGTTTGGTCCGCCATGCCCGTAGATATTCCAAATGAGCAAATCTAGACACTTTCCATAAATAACTTTTGGGACCAAATTGAGACTAATGCTAAGGGCATGATAGCGAGGGTGTTTGGCAGACATGGTAAGCTATCATCTAGTGAATATTGAGGGACCAAGCTCAATATTGCGAGTGTTCTCAACACTAGCAAGTGCAAGTCAACAAATGAGTTTCTCTAACCAGGTCAAGTATGCTTGACTAAATAGACACTTAGGAATTCCTTCCTTATGCTCATCTGGTCAAGTGCACACACAAAGACCAGTTTCTCAACTAGCTTAGGCGGAAATTGATAACAGGTCCAGCAATACCGACCTCCTGCCGTCGTGGCAGTAAGGAAAGAGTGTCTGTAAGGGCGGGGTTCCATGCTCCACCTACCTGAAAATTTCTCCCCCCCTCCAAAAAAAACTCCCCTCCCCCTTTTTTTAATGGTTACATGTAACCCCCTTCTTTATATGCCATGTAGGTTTACACATCAGCATTTTTTTTCCCACGTCATAAAGGATTAGGGCACCAATTTTGTTTGCCCTAAATTGAGCGTACAGCATGCTACGGCTCACCAATTCTTCCTTGGCGATCATTTCCCATGCTGTAGGGATTGTGATGAGGTACTTAAATTTGGTAGAGTTGTTCTTTCTGGAGGAGGAGGACATGATTTTAGTTCCGGTTTTAAGAAAACTCTTGTTCATTCAAATGGTGGGGGAAGTGATTGCTATAGTTCTTTCTATGCCATGTCCCACTACATCTTCATTTGTTGAGAGAGTGATCACTAAAAAGGAGCTCCGAGGGTTATCGATCGGTGCGTACTACATCAAGTCGAGAAGTCTACACTAGTGGTATCAAACAGAGCTTGAGGTTCTTCATATAGATCCACAAAGATTCAGAGAAGTTTTTCGGGTTTCGGTATCTACATTCACTTTTCTTTGTGATAAGCTTGCTCCAAAATTGGTCAGGAGGCCTCCTCTAGGTTTGGTAGAAATACCAGGGCAGCACTTGCCTGTTTCAAAGCAAGTAGCTATTGCTTTGAAACGTTTAGCATCTGGGGATATGTGGTGAACAATTGGTGATGCATTTGGAGTGGCTTCATGCACTGCCCAAGCTTGTCTATGCCGTTTCAGGTATGCATTGCTTGAGCATGAAGGACTAATGATCCATTAGCCGGATGAGGAGGGAATGAAAGAAGTTATAACTGGATTTCAGAGATTGCGTGGATTCCCAAACTGTTGTGGTGCAATGGATTGCACTCACATTGCAATCGAGCTCTCAGGATCAAAGGATGCAATGGATTGGTATGCTGGGGCAAAAAAGTAATACTCGATGGTAGTTCAAGCCGTGGTAGACAATAAGATTTCATTCCTTGACATAACAACAGGGTTAGCAGGTAGTGTTCCAGATAGACGAGTTTGGAATTCTAGTGGTTTGAAGAAGGCTTGGATTGAGAAGAAGTGTTTATGTGGTCTAGTGTACCACACAGAGTTTGGGGACATTCCACAATATATCATTGCAGATGGAGGATATGACTATGCTTTACCGGTGTTGGTCCCATATCCAAACAGGTTTCATGGCAAAGAGCAGTACAACTTCCTTCATTCTTTTACGAGGATTGTTGTTGAGCAATCTTTTGGAATTTTAAAGAGACAATGGAAATTGCTAGCTCGGAAAGGATTCAGAGGTCATCCAGGCATCCTTGCAAATAACATCATGGCCTGTTGTGTGCTACATAACTTAATGATCACACGGAATAATAAGTTCATGGAAGATTTTGACCCCGACAAATTTAACCATGATGCAAGCTACCTTCCACAAAGGTCTCTTCGTTCAGCTAAAGATGGCATAGCATTGAGAGACATAGTGGAAAAGTTTATAGAGAGCTTAGAGTGACAATACTTTTGTACTTTATTTACTTAAGAGTGACAAAAACTAAACGTTTTGGTGTTGATCCTCTTTTAAGATCCTGCTGCATGAGACTTGCGCCACAGTCGACCAGCAGCTCAGAAGAACGATGATCACAACAATGGCGATGCGCTCTCCATGTGATGGTTTATGTCAAGCTCCCTCTGGTGATTATCAGTATCAAGGCTGGGTGCTTGTGCTGGAATGTAAACAGTAAACTGGGAGCAACAAACGAACAAAAACAAAACTATTACCTGTTCTGGTTTATGTCAAGCTCTCGCCGATTGATGGAGGAATACTTTCTTCTGTTTTTACCTATTCTCAATCTGCGAATTTCTTTTTGTCTGTTGATCCCGAATCAACACTCGCCACTGGCGTTGATTGGTCGCTATTGCTTTCAGCGGATAAAATGCTACTACCATCTTCATCTTCCTTCCTGAGAGATTTGTAAAAATGAGAGAGTGAGTGAGTGGCGGTTGAAGTCAGCTTAATAACAAAGTGAGTGGTGTGGACGAGCCAAAGTGATGATTCATCCAGAAAAACCAGCGGAGCGAGAGTATAAATACCTTTGTGATTGATTGATCAATCCATCCATTGGTCACTTCCTTTAGCAAGATCACAAGCGATCACCACCTATAAGCAGTATAAAAACAATGGAGGAATTCTTTCTCCTGCTTTTCTATTTGTACCTGTTCTCGATCCAGCGCTGCAGTGACATTATGGACCAGCTATAGCGAAACTGTCCATGGTCCTTCTCAAAATGCCTCTTGTTTCAGATCCATTCTAGATCCCTAGCAAGTGACACATCGGCTTGTGGCTGTCCACTTACAAGAATAGAACAAAAATGAAATTGAAATGCAGAGCCTACATGCAATCGCCCAAGGATCTAAAAATACCTAGTATTCCCAGCAATTAAAGTCGCTCCTCCTCTCATGCTTCACTACCTCCACAGCTCCCTGCTCCATGAGAAATAGCATACCCTAGATTGATCCAGCAACGCTCCACCGTAATCTTCAGAATCCATGCCTCTTCTCTGTCTGCCGTTCCTGTCCCAGCTTTCTTGGCCAACACCAGTGCTGCTGCCCTGGCAAGCTTCATGGCCTTGGATGCCACCGATCCACACAGGGACACCATAGCCACGAGGAAAAAAAGACGTGCAAAACCCCAAAACTCTAAAATGCTATGTTAAATAAGTGTAACTTTAAAACACAAAGTTTGCAATTCTACTTCTCCTTTGTCACCATTGATTCCACAAAAGGCTGCCGCAGCAATTGAAGTTCCTCATACATCATATGTGTTCCTTGCAACATCATTGCAACTCTCCTATCTGCAGCAGCAATTGAAGCTTGGTGGCATCGATCATCAGTTGCCTCCATTTTTTCCATCATTTGTATGTTGCTATCTCGAAGTTCTTGCATCATTGCTTTCCTTTGCTCGTCACTTCACTCAAGAAGACCATCAGATCCCTTTGGAGTGCACTTGCATTTTTTCCTTGTAGCAATTGAAACTTTCTTCCCACCGACTTGTACTTCTGGAATGTCCTCGTTAGCATCTCTAGGATCTTGTGTCTCAAATATAACATCTGGATCTGGATTTGCAGTTGCATTTGTCTCTGGAAAAAAGAAAAACATAAGTCAATCAAAAAATCTAAATGAACTTACCATAGCCTGGTGACTCATTTGCAATTGTAGAACCCATAGATGTATCAACTCGGTGGCTACCTAGAACATTAGCTATCGACCATGTCATCCACAATGACATCTCATTGTAGAGGCCTTCATCGAATGCACGAGGAAGCTTTGCATCCTTCTTCATCCCTGTAGTAAACTCACCACTAAAGTAGGATGGTTTCCCTGATGAGATGTTATTCTCGTAATCACTAATCTGCCTCCACTATTTTGCAAGCTCATCCCATTGTAACTCACATTGCTTTTGTGTGCGAAAAAATCCCTGTGAACGTAAGATGTTGGAAATGCGTTGCCACTTCTTTGGTCCTTTCATTGATTTTCTACGGCCACCGCCTTCTTGATCCTTCTCCTTTTCCATCCTCTTTGCATACTAAAGAGCCATGTTTTCATCAGTAGACCATTTTCCTTTTTGTTCATCATTCAAAGTTGGTTCATTTTGGGAAAACAAGTTGTGAAATCAAAAAATAAACACAAATAATATTTATTGTACCTCTGGAATACTTGTTGCTCCATCAAAAGAGCTAGTTCCTGGAGGAGGTAGTGATAATAAAGTTGTGAAAGAGGAATTTTCAATTCCCCCACCATGAAATCCTTGCTGTTGCAAAAATGCATTCAAAACAAAGTAGGAAAAAACAATTGGAAAAAAATACCTGGCTCGATGAATTGAAGTTAGCTTGCATTGTAGGGATACTTGGAACAAATCCAATCATCGGGTTGAATGTAGGAATGCCAGATTAAAAACCATTGCAAAATTTTACTAAACAAAAGAAAAAAACAAAAGAGAAAATGAAAAGTACCTGGATCATGGTTGCATTTGGCATAGATCCCATGCTAGCACTAAAAGAAGAGCCCTTTCCTCCCTGGACATTAAGAAAAACAAGCAAAATTCTAGAACTACAAAATTTCATACTTACATAAGTTTGAGCTATTGATGAACTAGAATAAAAGCCAAATTGCAACCATGGATAAGGTGAGGGTGAGCGATTCTCCATTTCTTACAAACTTCTTTCTCAAATCACTGCAAAAATCCCCCCTAAAACCCTCCAAGAACTCACACGCTCACATGGCGGCAAAATTAGGGCGGGTCAAATTTTTAGATGATGTGGCAATTTAGCCACGTGGCATTATTTTATTTGTTACCAGATTCTAGGCTCCAGAAGAAATTTATGGAGGGGACACCGAGTTTCCCCCTTCCCCCCCATTTTTGGTGCCATGTCACAAGGGGGGGGGGCATGGAACCTAGGGTTTTATTTCTCCCCCTTGGAAATTTTCCCCCCAGGGTGGAGCATGGAACCCCGCCCTAAGGACTGGCCGACAAGTAACTTTCGATACCCGAAGTCACATTCGCGACAGCCTTGATGGCAAATCCTTCGAGAAGATATCCTGATTCTACACCAACAACTCCAATATCTTCTTTGATATAGGATCAACCTTGTCATTGATTCGAACTGAGTCACCAACACTCTCAACTTCCATCACTTGAACCCAAAAGGTCCGATATCCCTTCTTAGCTACTTTTTGAGCGGCTCTCGCAGTCAGGAACTTAGCATCCCAATCCTTTGAGGAGCACTTTTGCAACTGAAAGGACACATTGGGACGTCCTTCTGACTTCAACGTAATACGACTTTGTCTAGCACCATAAATCCCCTTTATATACTTGTTGAAGAAATCCATACCAAACACCATCTGAAAATCTGGTATTTTCAACACTACCAAGTCCACTCTTTCTTTCCACTTGGATATCTTTATTGGAACGTCACTCACAAACTTTCTGGCTACTTGCCCATCTTTTGCAAACTGGAAGTGCATAGGCGACATTTGCTCAGCATTCAATCCTAACAACTTAACTAAGTCTTTGGATATCACATTGTGCGTAGCTCCCGTATCAATCATCACTCGGATTCGGTGTCCACAGACAAATCCTACCAAATACATCAACGGATCAGTGTTTGCATTGACTGCTTAAAAAGCTTGAGGAAAGCAACGAAAGTAACTCACCTCCTCTTCCTCATAGTCTTCATTGACCAACTCGTCAACCCCCTCGGCTTCACCACCACCATCTTCCCTCATGACATTAACATGAGACCTTGTCTTATGCTTGTTGGGACATTCCGAGGACCTATATCCTGACTCTCCACAATGAAAGTAATGACCCAAACTACTTGTTCCGCTAGGAGCAGGTTTCGCAAGTTGCTGCTGCTTGTACCCACCAGGAGGAGGAACAAAGGGCCTAGGACCAGAAGAAGCTGCTGGTGGTCTTCAACCACCACCACCTTTGTTAACTATTGTTTGTGAGCCTCCAGGGCAGAACCTACCTTCCACCCTCTGTTTCCGGTCACCTTGTTTATTCCCAGAATTTTTATTCTTGTCCAAGTTACCAGCATACGGTTGCTGATATTGTTCCATGAGTGAGTGACTAAAGGCAACTTGTTGCACTGCCTCCTTACACTCCAGGTACATCTTCGGCTTAAACTTCAAAATCTCATTGCGAGAAAGTGAACTTAAACCTTCCAGGAAATAAGTTCGAGCATCTTTGTCACTTATATTTGCAATCATAATGCGCTTCTGAGCAAACGCATTAACGTAATGCATGAGATCCCCTCGCTGCTTTAACCGCCACAGCTCCACACAAAGTCTCAAACCAAGATCATCCGCCAAGTATTCCTTACGAATATGAGACCACATCTTGGTCCAACTTCTAGTCTGCCTTTTTTCAGCACACATCTGGCACCACCAAGTTTTGGCATGATCAGTGACAAAGGATTGCGCGCACGCAACTTTCGTACGATCATCTACGCCTGCCGTTATGAAATAGTTTTCCATATCATAGACCCAGTCTTCCAAAACCTGATAGTCCCGCATGCCTCTGAAATTGGGTGGTTTCGGAGGCTTGAACTTTGAAACTCGTGCAACCATGGGCGGCTGCAAAACTTCATCATCCTCAGAACTTGAAGAGGATTCTGGTTGCTTAGGCTTAGCTGGTTTAGCTACCTTAGCTTCTTTCTTCCTCTTCTTATTCTCCTTCTTCAATTTGCGAATCTCCCTTCGCAAATTCTCAATCTCAATTTCTTGAGCCATACGCTGCAACGCCATAGCATCTGGCTCTTCCTCTTCTAACTCAGCCTCAGCCTCTTCTGCAGCATCTCTAGCAGGAGTTTCCTCCTCTCGATTCGCCTGTCTAGAGGTTGTAGCGTTATCAACACAGTTCCTTTTCACCATCCCGCTAGCTGCATGCATATCTCTATCAGTAACTGAACATGCTTACAACGTTCTTACCGAATGGTGCAATCCAACTAATCC